CAGTGCCTGCCGGCGTGGCGCCATGGCCTCTGGGGGTGGCAGGGACAGACGTTAGCTCGTACTTGGAGCTGCTGTGTGGAGTCAGAGGGCTGGGGCTGGGGTTCAGAACGGGGGACCATACCTAGATGTGGTCAGGAGGGCCATCTCTGGGGGGTGGCTCCTCTCCAAGAGGTTAAAGGCCACCTGGGTATGGAAGTGCTTGGGCAGAGCTGGGACGGTGTGTCGGGGAGGTGGCCCTGGGCTCCCACCCCAGGACAGGTCAGACAGGCTCAGAGACCGCACACCCCACATGAGCTCTACCCAGGAGCTGTCCGTCGCACTGTGGGTACACCAGTGTGTCTTAGGGACACTGTCTTAAATCCGTCTGGTTCCAGAACATCCTGGCGGGATTAGTGGGAAAGGAAGCCAGAAGGACGTCACTAGAAGAATAGGGTGGGCAGAATGAGGACAGGTGGGCGTGGGTCCTGCTCTGAAGGTAGGGGCTGCCCTGCGGGCAACAGAGCAGGGGCACAAGCAACGTCTGCAGACATCTGGTGGGCGGCACATGAGAGTGATGTGCAAGCAGACTGGAAAGAGGTGGCTGGGGGGTGGTCAGGTGGCCTGGCTGTGTCCTGGTTCCGCATACTGTCGCCAAACGGGGGCAGGGCCTAGAGCCCTTGCTGCTCCAGCTCTGCCGTCATCCGAGGCTCCAGCCCGTCGTTCTCCTGAATCTCCTCCCAGGCCTCACCCCAGGGTGCGAGAAGTCTCCGCTCCACCCAGCCTCAGGTCTCCACAAATCACTGCCTTCACAGGCGGTTCCCCCACAGGTCTCCCCAAACCCCCAGGTCACCCTGTTTGGCAGATGAGGATCTTGAGACTCAGAATTTAAGTGGCAGCTGGCAGGTAGCAGATGGTACCACAGTAGGTCTGACTCAGCTGCGGCACCTGCACATCCCTGCCCGGGGCTCCGGCCTGACACCGTCATGCCTCGAGCAGCAGCCCTTGGAGCCCTGGGCGGGCCGGGCAGGGCCCTCCAGAGAGAGCACTGACGCTCCTCTCCTTCCTGGAGCAGGTCTGAATGGGATGAACAGCAGCATCTGGGAGCACTTTGCCTCTGGAAGCTTCTCCCCGGGCACTTCCCCTGCGTTCCTGTCAGGGCCAGGGGCTGCCGAGCTGGCCCGACTTCAGCAAGAGCTGGACGAAGCCAACGGTACCATCAAGCAGTGGGAGGAGTCCTGGAAGCAGGCCAAGCAGGTACCGGGCCCCGTTCCTGCCCTCCCAGGGCCTGGCGGCACCCAGCTCATGCTCCTCTTGCCCAGGGCACAGGGAGTGGGGGAGGCCAGGGGTCCTGGAGAACAGAGCAGAGACTCAGTTTTGTTCTTTCCCCTGTCAAGACCCCAGGTGGCTGGTGTCCCAGAACTAGAACTCTGAGCCATTTATGTGGTCTGGTCCCCACACCACTGGTCTCTCCCAAGAAGCCCTGACTCTCCAGGGCTCAAGTCCAGGCTTCAAGGGTGGGCCCTCTGGCCAGGCTCAGCCCTCTTCCCTGCCCACAGAGGGTCTCTTACAGGTCCTGAAACCTATCTTCTCTTCAGACAGTGGCGGCTCCCTCCCTGCCTCCTCCCCAGACCGCTGACCCACTGCTCCCAGCAGCCCCACAGCCACAGTGGCTCATGCAGGCCCCCAGAAATATGCTCTGGGTGGGGCTGGGGACCATCATGACGTGCTCTGCATGTTTGGCCTACAGGCTTGTGATGCCTGGAAGAAGGAGGCAGAGGAGGCCGGTGAGCGGGCCAGTACGGCCGGCGCTGAGTGCGAGCTGGCCCGCGAGCAGCGGGACGCGATGGAGGTGCAGGTGAAGAAGCTGCAGGAGGAGCTGCAGCGGCTGCACTCGGGGCCCGACCCGCAGGCCCTGCCCGCCTTCTCCGACCTGGAGGCCCTCTCCCTCTCCACCCTCTACTCCCTCCAGAAGCAGCTGCGGGCCCGCCTGGAGCAGGTGGACAAGGTCAGCCCAGGAGGGTTGGGGAGCCCAGGGTGGGAGTATACATGGCCACAGCCAGGGCTAGGATTCAGGGGCCCACACTGCTGTGGGGCCTGCTGCCCTCCTGCGAGCTCCTGCCCCAAAGCTGGCCCAGAGCTCGGGAGGGCACGCCACTCCTGGGGGAGGTGGGAAGGGGCACTTTGGAAGGTGGGTGTGATCTGAGCCAAATTAGCGTTTCCTGGGCTCTGAGCGCTGCACAAGGAGGAGACACGGCAGACTAGCTGGGTCCCCAGGGCCCTTCTGTCTGCGTCCCTATGTTCCCTGCTGGTCCCCCAGGGAACCTCGAACAGTGGAAAGAAGTCTTTCCTTCAGCAGGCCTTTGGCATCATAGCCCCACCTGTGGCTGCAGCCTCGGGCACACCACTGCCCTCTCCAGGGGCCGAGGGTCACTACAAGATCAGTGGGAGGAAAAGCCCTCAGGCTGGGGGCCGCAGAGCACGGCCTTGAGCAGCCCTCGGGGCTCTGTGCCTCAGTGCCCGCCTGCCGCTCCGGCCAGGCCTGTGACCTGGGCATCCCGCTCCCCACAGGCCGTGTTCCACATGCAGTCGGTGAAATGCCTTAAGTGTCAGGAGCAGAACCGAGCGGTGCTGCCGTGCCAACACGCCGTGCTGTGCGAGCTGTGCGCCGAGGTCAGCGAGTGTCCCGTCTGCCATCCGGGCCGGGCCCACGCGCTGCAGTCGTGACCCCGCGGGCCCGGCCCCGGCCTGGCTCAGCTCTTCCCACCTAGGACTTTTTAAAGTATATATATGTATGTATGTATGTATGTATGTACATGTATATGTATATGATTATGTATATGTATACATTCTGTGCGTGTGCAGGTGTGCGTGGGCGGCCAGTGTGAACAGTGTCTGTGTGTATATCTCTACACAGGTATAGACACACACTTTAAAACAGACTTACCAAGCACTTTTTAAAAGAAGCAACTGTTTTGCAGTCCTCCCTCTGCCCACTCCCCACCTGACCCACTTTCCCCTCTTCTCCCACCAGCCCTTTGGCAGGGAATCTGTTTCTCTTTTTTATGTAGGAACTAACTATTTTTAACTTCTTGAGGCCTGAGCAGGGAAGGATGGGAAGCTGGACGGGGCCGAGGGGAGGGGACTCGCCTTCAGGGCGGGCCCTGTTCACCCGCCTCCCCAGGCCAGGGCAAGAGCCAGGGCTTGCAGGCCCCAGGCAGACCAAGTTCCTGGCAGTGAGGCCCGAGGGGTGGGCCAGGGCTCCAGGCCAGCCTAGCTCCCAGCTTTACCAGATGTGTATTCAGTTTGGGACTGGCCTGAGCAGCCCACTCCTGAGCTCCTGCCCTGGGCCCTTGAAGCCCCTTGAGGGTCAAGGCTCAGGAGTTCCACCCCTCAGGTTCCCGAGGCAGGGGCTAAGCCTCAGTCCTCTCCCTGGGGTCTTGGGAGCAGCCTCCCTGGCCCCAGGGCCACCTACCAGGCCGGCACTGCCCTATCACCCCCAGCTGTCCCTCCTCTTCTGGCACAGCCCCCTGCCCCCGTGCTCCCCACCCCTCCCTCTGGCAGCTAGCAGGGCAATCGGTAGGGAGGGTCTGCAGACCGTGAGGACCAGGGGCTCAGGCCCTGCCCCCTCCCTGAGGGGCCCCGTATGCATTCCTTGGTGCTCTCCGAGTGCAGCTGACGTCCTGCCCTGTGCGGCACGGACGCCTGTGTGCGTGTGTGTGTGCCTGTCCGATGTGTAGTGTGTTTTAGCTTCCGTTCTAAAACTCGTTCTGTACAGAGAGATGCGGCGGGACGGGAGGGCAGAGTGGGTAGGGGAGAAGCCACCCCACTCCCAGCGCTGGTGTCTGGGGTGGGAGCAAGAGGGCTTCAGAGGGTCTGGTCCCAGCCCTTCCCCCCCTTGGGCTCAGCACGAAAGGGCTTTCAACGAATTAAGTGAAAACTTTCCTTTTTTACAAAAATGCAAAAATCAACAAAGCTCCAAAACTATTGGAAATAAAACATGAACTTGCAGCGGTAGCTTGTTTGCATTGGGGGAAGTGGGTGGGGCTGGGTTCAGGCCTCCGAACAGTAGGTGGCCCAGCCCAGGTTCCGGCCCCACCTGGGCTGGGCACGCCCTCCACCAAAGACACGGCTGTGCCCTGACCTCTGCCGTGTGGCCAGGTGGCCGCAGAGGCCCCAGGGCTCCCCCGGATCCAGTACTTGTCCGAGCCAGGCCCACTACAGCTGATGTGGGGACCATGAGCCCAGGACAGAGACCCCCTGGCCCACCACTTTCCTCCTGTGGGTCCAATGGACAGCTGCTGCTGGCTCACCTGCTGCTTTCCAGAAGTCAGCAGGGCCCCTAGTGGTTCTCAGAGGAACGAACACACTGTGCCTTCTCACAAACCCAGGAAGGGAAAGGTGGCCCCAGAGGAGCTGGCCTGCCTGGCCCCTGCCCCTGCCCCTGCCCCCTCCCCCCTGAGGGCAGACGGTCCCCAGCTTTCAGCCACCTCTCCCCTCCCCCTGCTCTCGGCCAGCCTGTTACGTGGGTGTGAGGGAACACGGCCGTGGGCTGCCCTCTCGTGTGGATTCGTGTGGATCCCCGAGGTCTCGAGCTGCAAGGGGCCGTGGAGATACCTGAGAGCGCCTGCACGTCTCGCTCGTGCGGGCTCAGAGGCTGAGCAGGGGGTGACTACGCTGCGGGTAGAATGGCACCTGGGTCTCGGGCTGTGACAGACAGCACACAGGTCTCTGTCCCCCAGGCAGGCCCCCACTCACGGTGCTGCCCCCGGAGTCCCAGGCCCGTGCAGGGCAGCAGCCACAGAAATGGATGTGCCGGGTACTGTTTTGTTCGAAGCCCTTGGTCCAAGCACCAGGGACACCAATTCCTGCTTGTGTGTGTGTGACCCCCACACCACCTCCCGCTCTGTAACACGGGAGAGGGGTGGGCTTGGGGTGGGGCAGCCCACGGGGTCTCTTGGTCTGGGGAGGCTGCAGTACCTGACCTGAGCCCCACTACCAGCCAACAGTGCACTCACTGAGAGGACAGTGCTTTGGGACTTTTATTTTTGCCAAGAAAGTTTTTAGGTGGCAGGTGCTGGCTCCAGGAGATGTCCTCAGGCAACGGGGTTAGCCAAGCCGCCCTTTCTGCTTCTGTCCTGGGGCCAGCCCACTGCCTGCCAACTCTGACCTGGCAGAGCCAGATGGCCCCGCCTCTGGGGTCCCTAGCCTGGGTGTTGGCAGCCCCCCTCAGGAGAGGGCCTGGGCTACCCTCTTTATGGTTCCCCCCCAGAGCAGCTGTAGCCTCATCTTTGTCAGAGTCCCCACTCCCCCCAGGAGGGGATCTGTGCTCACAGCCCTGGCCCCACCCCGTGGCTGGGGTAGGGGCTCCAGGGGACAGACGGCAAGATGGGCTTTGACGGAGCAGCTTTTCCCAGGGAGGAGCAGGGGCGGGAGATGCGGACAGCGGCCTCCCCTCCCCTAGTGCTGGGGTTTGGCAGGGAATGCTGAGGCCAAGGCTGAAGGCAGGGAGGAGGGAGTATAAATATGCAAATAGTGTCCCTATCACCATAAATATGCAAATGGTTCCCACACCCTGGAGGCCTTGGGGTTAGGGGAGGGGGTCCCACACTTGGCAGGGCCCTAACGAGTGTCAGGCCAGGCTGGAAGGCTGTGCTGTGGTGGGGACAACCCAGACCTCCCAGGAAGACCTGTCCCTACCAGGGGCCCAACCCCACCCCCAACCTCCACTGCTATCGCCCTAGCCGAGGGGCATGCTGGGAGGCCTGCTTGGCTCGCTGCCGCCTCAGCTTCACAAACACCTGGGCCTCGCGATCGCCCTTCCTGCTCTCCAGCAGTTGCAGGATCAGGTCCCCTAAGAAAGAGAGGCATTTGGGGTCAGGTTCTGGGGGAGGGGCGGTGCCTGGGTAGTGCAGGGACAGCCCTGCCCTTCTGCAGCCAACCTGGAACCCAGTGATGGACCCACATCAGCTTTGCTCACGGGACGTGACAGCCTGACGGACAAGCCTGGAGACCCCTCGCGGCCCCCGGCAGGAGGGCCCTGACCCAGGCGCTCCGACCCAGCCGCAGTGCAAGAAGCTGAGAGGTGCCTCAGGTGGCAGCTCTTCTTTTTAGTATGAGAGCTTTAGGCCAGCCATAGTTACTCATGTGTAAAGAAGCAATAATAGTATCTGCCCGATGGGGCAGTTGTAAGGACTGAAAAAGTTAATCCATGTCAGGTGCGCAGAACTGGCCCGTAAGTAGACAAATGTGGGACCTATTCCTGTTCCACAATCGGCGCCCCTCCTGGGGTAAAGGTGGCGACCTGCCCCCAGCAGAGAAAGCCACACTATACTTGGCCCAGCTGAAATGACACTGGTTTCCTGACGAGACCCAGTGACCTTGGCAGCCTCTGCACTGGCTCCACTGGCTTCCACCCCTCAGCAGGGGTCCCTCTGACCCCACCCTCCCATCTCTGGGGGCCGTCTGAGCCTTTACAGACTGCCACTCCCCTGCGCCCCCAGCGGGGGGCTCAGGCCTACCGTTGGGTGTGGGGAAGGTGAGGGGCAGGCGGGTCTGAGGCGCCTCCCCGGGCTCCTGTGCCCCACTCAGGCCGCACACCGAGCGCAGCGGCAGGAAGGCCTCCCCTTCCAAGTCATCAGAGCCCAGGGTGTCATGGTCCAGCACCGTGAGCAGGAGGCACGCCCCATCCTTCTGGCACGGCTCAGCAGGCACCAGGCTGGGTGGGGGACAGTTGGGTTCAGCCGCCAGTGCCACACACGGCCACTGCCCGCCACCCACACACACACTGGTCCCCGAGAGCGGGCCAGGCCCGGAGAAGCATGCCCAGAGGGGAGTCTGGGGCAGGATTACAAAGTGTGGCCCACAAGGTATGACGCCTGCTCGCTGGGCTGGTGCTTTAAACCAGGGGCCCAGTGTCCCCAGGCCCACTTGTCCTGGGAACAGAAGACTTGGGGTTCAGGACTCTTGCCTGGAAGCAACATGTGGGAGTCTTCTTCCGACCGGCTGGCCGCTCCCAGGGAGCGGGTTTGGGACCTGTGCCAGCAACCCCTTGTCCTCAGTTACCCTTCCTGGGAGCCCAGTGCAGTTCTCTCCGGGGAGCCCCTTTGGCCCGGGCAGGGAGGAGCAGGCCTGAGGTGGTCCCGGCCCGGGAAGCGCAGCGAGCGTGGGGACCCACTCACAATTCAAAGGTCTCATCAAACAGCGGGTGAAGGTCCTTCTTGTGCTTTTGGGTCTCTCGGGGAGCCAGCTCAGGAAACTCGTGCCTGGGCTCCAAGGTCAGCTGGACAAAGGGGTCGCTGGAGCCTGGCAAGTGGCCCAGGGAGGGAACAATGGCCAAAATATTCCAGCGCCCCCACCAGCGCCCCAGTCCCTGCAGCTATGCCCCGCTCAGCAGCACTGCCTCCTCCTGGTAGTCCGGAGGAAATGCACCCGATGCTCTTCCTGGGCCGGCAAGCCACCAGGGACGCGCGAGCAGGGCAGAGTGGCCCGTGGGCGGTCTGCACTCACCGTTGGAGTCCAGGGGCAGCAGGCTGGAAGCGCTGAGCAGCTCCACACGCAGCTTCTGCTCGGAGGCGTGGTAGGAGGCTTTGAGCGTGACCGCCCCGAGCTCCTCCGTGGTGGTTTCAGCCTAGGGGGTGGGGCCCAGGGGTAGCGTCAGCAGCGGCAGGGCTCGCGGGGCGGGGCGGGGCGGGGCGGGCCATGGGCGGGGCGCCTCACCTGCTGCTGGAGGCGGCTGCAGAAGTACCTCTGGATGAGCTCCCGAGTGGAGGCACCCTGCAGCTCCAGGTCCCTCTGCAGGGCCTGCGAACGGGGCCAGGCAAGACGTCACGGGAACTGTCACGCTCAGTCACAGCCCGGCACTGCGCCCAGAGTTCTGGTGCCCCACGCACAGCACCCCTACCATGTGAGAGCCGAGAGCCTCACACTTGGGTTATTGCTCTGCTGCTGCCTCAACATTTGAAAAAAATTTTTTTAAAGATTTTATTTAGAAAGAGGAGAAGGGAGGAAGAGAGGGAGAGAAACATCAGTGTGTGGTTGCCTCTCCAACGCCCCCTACTGGGGACCTGGCCTGCAACCCAGGCATGTGCCTTGGCTGGGAATCAAACCCGTTACTGTTTGATTCACAGACCAGCATTCCACTCCTGAGCCACACCAGCCAGGGTGATTTGAAAGGATTTTTGAAAGAGATGCCCAAGGTGTCAATTGGTGCTGGGTCCTGTAATTATGTAGCTGGTCCTGGATGCAGGTGAGCGCAGGAAGACAGGCGTCCCCCACCGCAGACGGAGCAAAGGGCCCTACCTTGAAGGTGGCCGTGTGCAGGGCCTCAGGTGGCAGGCCACAGCCCTCTGCGTAGAAGCAGATCTCCAGGTTCTGGAGGATGAGCAGACAGCCATTGGTGCCGACCCCACGAGCCCTCCCACCAGGGCTAGTACTGCTCTCCCCGGTGTCATTACCTGCAGTGCGATCTTCAGCCTTCGAGAGGCCGGCGGGCAGCTCCGCTGGGAGGCGGCCGCCTCCGCCAGCACCGTGAGGGTGTGGGTCCAGAGCAGGGTCAACAGGCTGAGGCGAGGTGCCAAGGGACGCCAGACACAGGACAGGAAGGTGGAAGAGGAGGAAGTAGAGATGTTTTTGAGAAAGGGCTGGCCTCCTGGAACCCAGGCTCTTCCCCACCCCCACTCACTTCACAGGTGAGCCTGGGGCCTGGGGAAGTCAGGCAGCCGGTGGAGGAAGGGCTGGCCTCCTGAGGGAGGGAGGACAGGGAGGAAGGAGAGGGCCAGTCCCATCTAGCGCAGCTCCCAACCTAGGGCACGAGCTTTGTCAGGATTCTCAAACCCCACCAGACAAGGTGTGGGGGAGGCTGGGCCCCCAGTGACAGGGTCATGAGCCAAGGCAGCAGTGGTCAACATGAATAGGATTCCAGCACATTGCCTGGATGAGCATCTGCTACCTCTCGGGAGAGAAACTACAGCGACCAAAGCGTAGGCCCAACTTGACACGTCAATGTGGGGTCAGGCCGTTAGGGACAAAAGATGTGTAATTAGGAACGAGGGAGCCCCGGCAGATGGCTCAGTTAGAGCATCACCTCGACACACCAAGGCTGCAGGTTCAGTCCCCGGTCAGGACACATACAAGAGTCAACCAATGGCCCTGGCTGGTGTGGCTCAGTGGATTGAGCACTGGCTTGTGAACCAAAGGGTCACAGGTTTGATTCCCAGTCAGGGCACATGCCTGGGTTGCTGGCCAGGTCCCCAGTGCGGGGGGGGGGGGGGGGTGCGGCGGGGGGGGGGGGCGGGGCGTGAGGCTACACATTGATGTTTTCCTCTTTCTTTCTCCCTCCCTTCTCCTCTGTCTAAAATAAATAAAATCTCAAAAAAAAAAACGCCCTGGCTGGTGTAGCTCAGTGGATTGAGTGTGGGCCTGCAAACCAGAGTATCGCGGTTCGATTCCCAGTCAGGGCACATGCCTGGGTTGCAGGCCAGTTCCCAGCAGGGAGCGCATAAGAGGCAACCATACATTGATATTTCTCTCCCACTCTTTCTCCTTCCCTTCCCCTCTCTCGAAAAAATTAATAAATAAAATATTTAAAAAAAAAACAAAAAAAAACACAAAAAAACGAGTCAGCCAATGAATGCATAAATAAGTGGAACATCAATCAAATTGATGTTTCTGTCTCTCTCCTTTCCTCCCTCTCTCTCAAATCAATTAAAAGAGAGAAAGAAGGAAACCCTAACTAGAAGTTCCCCTGAATCATGGGAGAGGAGCACCAGTTGCCTGTAAGGTTAGGAGAGCAGAACTGTAGCCTGGGAGGCCTGGAGATGGCCCAGGGCTAATGGAAAAGGGATGGCCATGCAGGGAGCTCCCTGTCCCTGGAGCGAGCGCTTGAGCAGAGGCTGCTGGCGTCCTCCACTGGGAAAGGATGGGGAGGCGGGGAAAGAGGGGCGGGTAGAAGAGAGGCGAGGCCTCAGGCGTGCGGGGCAGGCGGCTGCCGCAGACCTGTTGAAGTTCTCTTGCACCAGGTTTGTGTTCAAGTAGCAGAGCTCCACCTCCAGGAACTTCATCAGGGGCAGAATGGCCTGGGGAGAGGGGCGGGCAGCACTTCCAGCTCTGGCCCATTCCCATCCCACCCTGGGCCCCTTGCCCAGCCCGGGGAGGGAACAGGGCCAGGAGCTTGTGTGGGCAGCGTTTGGAACTTCTGCAGGAAGTCAAGGACTTCTGTCATGGCGTTCACCGACACGCACATCCCTTATACCTAAATCATTGCCTGGGACAGAGTGGGTTCCTAAACAGTTGATGAACTAGTGAGTAACCTCCCAAACCATCTGTCCCTGATGACAGACGAGGAGACTGAGGACAGCTGGCGTATAGGAACAGGACAGCTATGCTGGCAGGCAGCCGGGAAGGATGTGCGCCCAGGTCTGTCTGGAGAGCAAAGTCCAAACCCTGCCCCAACGCAGCCCCCTCACGAACCGTCCATGCTTGGAGAGTCTGTGGAATGTCCCAACCCTGCTCCCTTAGTGTCCAAGGAGCAGGCCGAGGCCCAGGAGGGAACATTCCTTGCCCAAGTCTGGAGGACTCATCTCTGACACCCCGTGACCTTTGGCCTCCTGTTCAGCCTGAGCCCCTTTGCAATCCCAGGCCTATAAAGTTGACAAAGGTCAGCGAGCAGGAAGGGCCACTCACATCCTCCGGCAGGACGGACTCCCTGACGCCCACCAGGTTCTGGATGTGCTTGGCGATGCCCACCTCCAGCTGGGGACACAAAACAGTAGAGGGGAGGCCAGGGCCTGCTTTAGGTTCAGGAAGCAGTGGGGCATCATCAGCCCCAGTCCTGCTGGGAGGGGGGCTTCAGGCTGGGGAGTGGTGGGGCAGGGTCACTGTGGGCCAGACGAGGTACCTGCTCGGCCAGCGTGTGGACGCCGGTGCGGATCTCGTGGCCTAGCCCCGCCAGGGCGCCTTGCAGCTGGGTGTGCAGCGTGTTCTGCAGCTGCCCCTGCTCCAGCACGGCCCCCACCCGCTGCTCCAGGGCCTCCCAGGCCAGCTGGGTAGGTAGCTTGCCAATCACCAGCCGCAGCTGCTCCATGTCATTCACGACCACGCACAGCTGGGGGCAGGCATGGGCAGAGGGATGCAGAGCTTCCCAAACCATGGCAGGGGGGCAGTCTCTACCCCACCCCACCCTAGCCCCAGCCTCAGCCCCCAGCTCAGGCCCTTACCATATTGGCTGCTTGGCCTTGATCCTTCTGGCCGACAGCAAGCTCACGAGCCCGGGCCTTTATCAGGCTGCAGTACACCAGGGCTAGCCGACAGGTGTCCTGGGTGGGGAGGGAATGGTCACTGGGGGAGTACCCAGGAGGGGCAAATGGGGAAGGCCCGGTGTCTCAGTGACTTGAGGGATTTAGGATGTAGGCCTTTAGAGACCGCTAGGGTGAGAGCTTGGGAGAAACAGGGCGGGTGGCAATGAGGCTGTCCTAGAAGGTGGGGAAGGACACGGAAGATGCTGCACCTCCACGAACTTGACAGTGATCATGAAGGCTTCCTCTGGGTCAGGCCAGTCCAGCTGCTTGGCAGTGTGGCTGATCTGGGCAAAGCAGGTAGACAGATCCACAGCCGACGTGCTGTGCTTGGTCAGCTCGCCCAGGGGCACCAGCTGGGAGATGGGAGGGCACTTGGGAAGGAGGCTCAGGGCTTGCCCAGTCCAGGCCCCTGCCTCCCTCCTTCCTTCCAGAAGCATTCAGAGCTTCTACCATCTGCAAGCACAGGGGAACCAGCAGGGTCTGCCTAGACTCCCCACAGGGCAAGGGTCAGTCTGCAAAGGGAAGCGGCAGTTAACGCCAAGGATACAAGAGGCAGCGTTTTGCACAAAACTGGTCTAAAAGCATCCTTTAACGCCAGCTACCGGCTTCTGCACATCTGGAAGTCCTAGCAGAGCCCCAAACCCTATAGCTGGGACCACGCCCCAGGCCATACCCTGCCCCACCCAGCTTCCTCCCCAACCTGGTCCATCTGCACGGCTCGCTGCACCCGTGCCAGGGCCACGCTGTATGTCTTCTGCAGCCAGGAGGGGATAGCCGGTTGGAACCAGCGGTGGAAGCCGTCCAGGGCCAGGACTCCATCCCTGAGGAAAGCCAGGACTCAACCTGGTAAAGGCCGGGGCCAGTGCGGGTTGCGAACCCCCCTCGCCCCTTCTGTCCCCTCTGCACCCACAGCCTGCCAACTGCCCACCTCTCCGAGGGGGCTGGCCCCAGCTGGCAGAGCTCCTTGAGGCTGATGTAGAGCTGGAACAGACTCTCGCCCATCTCCGGGGACACCGGGCTGCTCACCACCACTGCTGTGTGGTCCTGCACCCGCTTGGCCACCTGCCAAAGGACCGACAGTGTGGCGGGCACGGGTCCAGAGCCAGGGTGGAGGGGAAGGCCTGGAGATGCGGGCAGAGACTCACCAGCCACTGCAGCTCCAGGAAAGCCATGGAGAAGAGGTCGATCTTAAGAGTACTGGAGGAAAGGCAGTGGGTGTCACGGGGTGGCACCACTGGGGTCCCCCTGGTCCTGGTCTGAGCCCCCGCCCACTCCCTCCCAACCCAGCCACCTGCTCACTTGTGGAAGATCTTGTTCCACGTGCGCTGGCACTGGTGCAGGTCGCCCATGATGTCCTGTACCAGGCTCAGCAAGGCCTTGCCCGCCTCCAGCATGCCCTGGCCGGGACAGAGGCAAGCTGAGCGGGGCCGGGAGAAGCAGACACCCCACCCTCCACCCGGCCAAGCCCCTCACCTGCACCATGGGCTGATGGTGCTGCTGCTTCAGGTGGAACCACTCGACGGTGCCAGTCTGTGGGCAGAGAGGCAGTGAGCAGGGAGGGCTGCTGGGCCCAGAACATGCCCTCCCCACCCCCGGGCGGGCACCCTACCCGCAACGCCTCAGCCACCAGGCGAGGCAGCGGGGCACTGTCGGGGCACAGCTCTCCAAAGGCCTTCATCTTGCACATCTGCACCAGGACCCTGTGGGGACAGAGAGCCCGCTGCCCTGTACCCACCACTCACCCCTGCAGGTGCCCCAGCTGTTCCCTTGTGCCTGACCCCACTGACCTGAGGAGCGACTGCAGCCGGGCTGGGGAGTCGGAGACGGAGAGGGGGAAGACACTGCGGAACCTCCGGATGAGGGAGAGGCCGTAGGCCAGCAGGGAGCTGAACGAGGTGGCCAGCTCTTCCCGCTGCAGGCCCGGGAAGATGCCGTGAGGCCGGAGCTGCTTATGGGGCCCCGACAGCCGCTCCGGCTCCCAGGGCCCTGCCTGCCCAGCACCCCCAGCCCCACCTCCATTCCCGCTGGCCCTGGCCCACCTGTTCTGCCTTGAGCCGGCCCTGGATCCACTGGTATTCGATGCTGGTGATGGGGTGCAGGAGGCAGCTGCTGGGGAACTCCAGGCTCTGGTAGAGGCGGCTGTAGGCCAGCCACTGCCTGCGGCAGACGGAAGCCCTCAGCCTGGCCAGGTCAGGCACCTCCATTCCCGCCGCCCACCCAGCCTCGGGGAGGGAGGGGCGGTGCCTCCCCCTGCCTTGAAGCTTCCTGGGCATCCCCACTGACCCCCAGGGGGCTGAAAGGAACCCAAAGGACTTTTTTTATTTCTATAGTGCTTTTTAAACATTTAAATTAATCGCCCGTCTCCTCAATTAGGATATTTGTGATTTGAAAATTCAGGCTTTCTTGCTTCTTTTGAAAAATCAGATTTGGAGGTTTGAGCCTTCATGCACACTCGGCAAGTGTGGCCGGAACTCCCCTACGGGCAGGCCAGCGGGTGTTGCCGAGGTGAGGACAGCACTGAGATCAGGCTCACAGAGGAGGACACAGGGGGTTGGGGGACAAGAACCACCAGGGACAGGCCTCAGTCCCGTGCCTGCGGGGGCACGGCGGCCACCCGCAGGACAGGCTTGGGACCGGCAGGCAAACTAGGCCCTCGCCGTGGGTGCCTGTTCCAGCCCCCAGCCTCACCTGCACCCTCACCTGCAGCCTCACCTGCCCACTAGAGCGGCTTCCCCACCCCCCAAATGCCGCGTCAGTCCCAGCCCAGGGCAGCCCCCGGCATGCCCCGCTTCTGACTCCTCTGGTGCACTGCAGGGTCAGGGAGCCCACCGGTAACCCAGCCGGCCTCCCTGCAATATGCTGTGGCCCCGGGGACGTGACGGCGGGGATGCACAGGCGCCAGAAGCTCGGCACTCAGCTTCTTGGACGGGAGGCAACGGCGTTGGGAATCGGGGCCAGGGCTGGGGCAGGGGTGGCAAACTCAAATGCCCTGGGGACCCAGGTGACATCAGGGAGCAACGTAGGCCTGACGGCCACCGTGACGGCCTGGGGAGGACAGGCTACTCTGCTCTGACCGACTGCAGCGCAGCAAAATGACAGCCCTGTGCCAGTAGCACTTGCGTGGTTTGTGGGACGCTGTAGGGGAAATGTCCAGATTTCTACAAGTTGGCAACGGACTCAAAACCGGAAGTACACAGTTTGGGCCAAACAGAAACCTCTCGAGGTTGGACTTCTAGCTGGCCGGGGCAGGCAGGAAGGAGGGGGGCGCACTCACGCCATGGACTGGTGGAAGTCAGACAGGTCCTTCTGCGTGGCGTGGAGAAACAGGATGGTGGCGGCCTGGGCGCTCAGCGACCCGTCCCAGGACGTACTGCCCGCCTGAGGGGACAGGTGGAGGGGTGTCAGGGCCGGCGGGCAGACCTTGGCCCTGCCCAGTCCCAGGGGGGCGGTACCTGGTGCTGGGTGACCTCGTGGGAGACAAGCTGCTGCAGCAGGTGGAGGTGCACCGTGTAGCTGGGCTGGGAGCGGCTGGCGGCAGTGGCTCTCTGCGGGAGGTTCAGGGCGGCTGTGAGCGGAGCGGCCCATGCCTGGAGGGGCCCGTCCAGCCCCCCCCCCCCGGGCCACTGGGAGGCTCCTGGCCCTGGTCCCAGACCTACCCGCTTGTGAATGAACTGGAACTGGAGGTGGCACTGGCCGCGGTCTGGGTAGGTCTCGGTGCACGGCTCCAGAGGGTACCACTGGTCCTCCTGGCAGCGCAGGTCCTGCCAGGCAGTTGGCAGTGCCCATGCCCATGAGCGGGGACAGGGAGGTGATGGTAGTCAGGCCTGGAACCCCTCCCCTGGCCCCTCACAAACCCCCTTCTGCCTCTCTCCTGGGCCTCTTCCCCCACCCCACTCACCTGTAGCCTCAGAACCACGTTCCCCAGGAAGTCATCCTGGCCTTTGTCCTTCCGAGCCTCCTTGAAGATCCTGTCCCAACCAGGGTACGTGAGGAGGAAGAAGGGCCAAGAACCTGAAGGGCCCGAGGGGGCAGCTGCCCTGCCACGGGCGGCCACGGGGCCAGGACGGAGCCCGCAGCCCAGCAGCTGGTGCATGCGTCGGGGGAGGGCAGAGGGAGCCCCCACGGCTTCTCTCGGAGCCCTGTGGCACTCACCTTCGCAGCCCATGCAGGTCTGTGAGCTCCCCGAGCTTCTGCCGGACGGATTCCACAGTGTCCAGGTCCCTGGTGGGGCAGAGGTTTGAGCTGGAGGCCGAGAGGGCGTCCTGGGAGTCCCTGGCCCCTTCAGTGGGAGGCTCTGACGCCCTCCCCTCCCCCCCTCGCCTTCCCCACCCGCACAGCTGGGCGCGCTCCTCACCACATGTCCAGTTGAAAGCTCGAGTTGCTTATGTCCTCAAACTCCCTGCAGGGAGCAGGAGGCACGGGTGAGGGCCTTGGAGGGCAGGCCGTCAGCCAGGCCATGGCTGCCCCGGCCCAGGGCCTGTCTCCCAAAGCTGCCACCCCCAGTAGGCTTGCTCACTGTGGAGCCTTACCCCCCATTCTCTGTTCCTTTAAGGGAAGGCTCCAAGCTACCCCTAGGTCAACCCAAACAGCTGACCCTCTGCACCCGCTAGCTCGTGGGGCATCGGTGCCACCACGCAGGCCTGGCTGCTCCCCTTGCCCCTTGGGAGCAGGCTCCGCCTCTGGTCAAGCCGGGCCCCCTCCCTCCTACCCCCACCCAGGCCAGGAAGTCCTGCCGATCCCCCTGACTGGGGGACCCTACCCCGGGGAGCAGCCCCAGACAGGGCGGGGCTGGGACCGGCCACGTACAGGATGAAGGTCTCGTCCCAGACGGGGTTCAGCGTCTGGGTGATGACCTGGGTCCGGTGGGTCTGGTCCTCGGGGATGGTGTGCCGCACCACTGCCTTCTGTGGCCGCCGCGGCCCCTGGCTGTCCCCCAGCGCGCCTGCCCCCTGCTCGATGCCCAGCAGGCAGTAGGGGTCACTGAACCCTGGGGAGGGCAAGGGGACAAAGCCTCCAGGGCGTTGGCTGGGCTCCTTGGGAGGGCTCCTCATCATCCACCTCCCACCCCAAGGGCAGTGCCCCTTCCCCCCCAGACTCCAAGGGCAAGGAGCCATTAGCACGCTGGGCGGGGCAGCCCTGAGGGCCGTTTGGGAGGGCGGAGCTTCCACCGAGAGTTCTGGGACAGGCGGTGAGGGGCAGGAAGGAGCCTGCCCTGTCTGCTCACCGCTGACATCCTTGCCCAGAATGCCCTTGGCTTGTTTCACCGTGGCCTTCAGACAAAACGTTGGCTTCTGGAGAGAGAGGAGCGGGCACCTGAGTCCCAGAGGGGGCTTCCTAGCCCCCGTCATCCCCCAGGGCGGCTCTGGGCCGGCATTACCTCGAGCTCCTGGACCTGCTGCAGCATCCGCTGGTGCTCCTCGGGCTCCGCGTGGAAGGCCTGGTGGGGCAGGAGTGTGGGAGGCTGGGAAGGAGGACCCCGGGGTCCGGGCTGCAGGAGGGGTGGGGTAGGGGCCTGGCTCACCTCCTGCAGGTACCGCAGCAGCTCGGAGGCCTCTGTCACGTGGCTGGGCTCGGGCTTACCCAGGCGGTGCAGGACAGTGTAGAGAGCTTCCTCATAGAGCAGGACCCGCTGAGACACCGCAGTCACCTCAGGACCCGCATCCACCGGCCACGAGGTCTAAGGCCCGCCAGCCGCCCCCCACCCCTCGCACCAGCACCACACGCCCAGAGCAGGGACAAAGCACCCACACAGGCAGGGTGGGGCGGGCTCCTACTGGCAGCCGTGTGGCAGCCGGCACCTCTGTGTGCCCCCAGCACCCCGATTCTTACCTCCTCGGGAGAGAAGTCGTGCGATGGAGGCGTGATCTGAGGAGCAAGGTGAAAAGACAGTGTCCAGGCGGCCCGGGGCCAGCCCAGACCTTGGGGACGGCTCCTCGCAGCACAGGCCTGGGGCCGAGGCCCACAGCCGCCAGCCCCCCAGTGACGCACACCTGTTCCTGCGGCGGGACTGCCCGGGCTCCGGCCCCTGGGCCGCCTTCCTCGGCCCCTGGGTCGCCTTCCGCGGCCCCGGGCCTGTACTGGCTGAGGTCCATGGGCACCCAGCTACCCTAGCAGCGTGAGCTCTCCACACCCGGGCCCCCACCTCCTTTCCTTCCCCAGAGGAAACAGCAGTGCTTATCGGGCGGCCACGCTCACTCACACCCCAGTGGCGGAAGTGAGGCCCAGCAGCGGAGGTGGGAGACTGGGGGTCATGTCAAGCAGGCCTGGGGGTTTCTCCACTTGTCCCCAAGGGGTCTGGGCCCAGCCCGGACACCCCCTGCCTGACGGAGCCGGTGCCCTTGGCACTGGAGCAGCGTGCTGGGGCAGGGGTCAGCTCCACCAGGGAGAAGGGGCTTGGAGCCCGAATCTAAGGCCCAGGGGTGGCCCAGAGAACTCACAGACCCTGTTCTGCTGACCCAGAAGGCTCTGCCCAGGGGACAGGGGAGGCGGGGGAGGGACTACACCCTCAGCCCCAGCCTGAGAGAGGTGGGGCCCGCAGGCTAAGACGGCAGAGCCCCACCCCGGCCAGCGCTTCTCCTCCTCCATGAGGTCACTCCTACCTCCTGAGCTGCTGGGGGCAGAGGCTCTTGCTCCTCTCGGACCCTGCGGCGCCTTATCTTGATGGCCTGGCGCAAGAGGGGAGGGCGCCGCTGCGAGTGGGAGAGGAGTGTCGCCATGGTGGCCAGCTCGGCCCTTCCCTTTTGCTGTGCCCGCTGCCGCTGCCGCTGGGTGAAGATAGTGTAGCCACAGGATTATGCAAAGAGTCCAGGGGAGGGGCGAAGGGGGGCGGGTGGGGGAGAGGGCCAGGTTGGGGTTTCACCACCCCAGAGGCCTGCAGGCCCCTGTACTTCCCCACCCCCAGCCAGCTGGGCGGGGATCCTGGGAGGGACTCTCCTTGGCTGGAGGCAGAACGAAGGTAGATGACCAAGGTGGACTTGGAGGTGGATGCAGGGGGCGGGTCCAGCCACATCCCACCCTCCCACAGAGCCTCTGGGAGGGTCCAGTGCCCCCAGCAGGGGGCGTCGGGGCAGGCTGGCACTGGCTCTGCCCCATCCCACTGGGCCCGGTGGGGACTGAAGGAAGCAGCCCCAAGTGGTGGGCTTCTCACCCACAGACTTTTCTGAGTAGGCCCCAGACCTGGGGTGGATGTGGGCAGGGCGTAGGGTGGGGGCTCCAGAGAGGTGTCACCCTGGCAGGCAGGCAGGCAGCCAGCTGCTCAGCCTGCCTCACTCCTCCGGTGACATTCCACCTAGGTGACGGCAAGCTGCCCCAGGCAGGGACAGCCCTCGGCCCCTGCCCGCACAAGGACGGCCAGGGAGTGCCCCCTTCAAATGCTCTTGTAGGGGTGCAGCCAACCCCCAGAGGTCCTGAGAGGACCTGGCCAGAGGAGAGCCTGGCAGGCAGTGCCCAGCCTCTCTTGGGGGGGCCCCTTGGCCCAGGAGAGAAAGGAAAATGGACACTTCAGTGCTCAGCTTTCTCTGAGCTCAGAGCCCGGCTGATGTGGTGCCCAGACCTTCCTCCAGGCCCGAGTGTGGGTGTGGGTGGTGGCCAGGCCTGGGCCCGCCCCCCCCCAAATCCCGCCCGGGCATCAAGGTTCACAAGGAGGGTGGTGGGAGCCTGCGTTCTGCAGGGGCCGGCCTGGCCCGCCCACAAGCCCGGACATGCTGCTCGTGGCCACGCTGGGCCCAGGGCAGCCAGAGGCAGGAACTCGCTCCACCAGCAAACCTGGCCCGGCCTCCAAGGCCTCCCATACAGGCAGTTTGGGGCAGTTTGGGGCTGCACCAGGCCGTGGGGGACTCAGTGGGTGGGCTGAGCTGCTGAGTAAGGCCAGGGATTGGACACTCGAGAGGCCGTAGCTTGCTGGGGCCAAACAGGCCACAAGAACAAGGGACTCTCTCACACAGCCGACAGAGCACTGTCCCCGCCAACCCGCACAGGCACCCAGCCTTCCTCCCAGGGCTTGCCTTGTCCCCACACAGAGCCAGACACGGTCCAGTCACCTCATTTTTACTGCTTCACATTTTCAGCAAACAAATTAAGGTGCAAACAGGGTTTATTTCACATTAATATATTAACTGGATTTTTTTTTGGTCAAATAAATAGGGAAGTCTCTTTAAATAACCATCTCCTCACTTCGTGGCAAGTCCAGGGCACGGCACCGACAAGGCGTGAAGCTCGGAGCGAAGGGGGCAGCCAGGCCCCGGGGTCAGGGCCCTCGTTCCAGCCCACCCAGCAGCCTCCCAGTGGCATGCTGGGGCGGACGGCACTCTCGTTGCAAGAGCCCCTCCCAGACGGAACAGAGAGAGGGCAAAGGGAACGAATTCCATAAACGCCAGCAGGGAAGCAGAGGGCCTGGCCCTGACGCCGCCCAGCCCCGGGAACGGGGTAACAGAATGACCAGGGACAGGGCGGGCAGGAGTGACTGGGGCTGGAGGCTGCCTAGGAATGGAATGCAGGCTGGCAGTGCGGAGGGGCCTCCGTGGCTGGGCACAGGCCAGAGTGCAGGGCACGAGCGCAGGGCTGACGGGCCGCGGGAAAACCGGAGGCTGAGCATAAAGTGGCTACCAAAGCAAGTGGGCCGGACTGTGGTGGAGGAGGTGGCCAGAGAGTCCCTCTGGGGGTAGAAGCTACTGGAACAAGACAGGAACACGGGGGACACCCTGCGCTCCCAAGGAGACCCCAGAGATGCTGAGAAGTGTGGGGAGCGTCTGTCTGGGCTCTGAGCTAATGTGGGAAGCTGGAGGTGCGGCTCCGAGTCAAGGGGCCCCTCCCTTCTGTCAACGCAGTTCCTAGTGAGTGTTTTATAATCAGACCCGGAGAGAGCATGCTCCCCTTCATCACCCTCCCCCCAGATTCAGCCCCAAGGCGAGGGAACGGAGAGCAATGAGAGGCAGGACGCAAGGGATTTGGGGTCTACTGGGTCTTCTTATCTTCTGGGGGGTAGTAGGGAGGTGGCGGAGGCTGGCTCTATGAAGGAAGAAAACAAAGTTCACATTAGAAGGTTAGAAGAAGCCAAGGTCTCCCCGGTCCCTAAATCCCAGCCAGCCGTGGCCACCCTGCCCACATCCCTGCTCACGTCCCACTTGCGTCCCTGCTCACCATGGGCATGTAGACGTTGTGTGGATTGCCAGGGTCGTAGTAAGCGCTGGCAGCTGCTTCTGCGGCCTTGGCCTCAGCTGCAAAAGCAAACATGTGGGCGCTAAGCCTCCCCTCTCTTCCAGCCACCCCTGGGGCTGCTCCTGGCCCGGGGACCCAGCCCCCCCCCACCCACGGCAGCTGGTACAAGGACCCAGTTCCCTCAATAAAACGGCATTACCACCTCCTTAGCACTCACCACGGGCTACCTTGTCCTCTCCCATCACCTCTAGTCCTCACCACAACCACACGCCAGGGGCGCTGTTACCACCTGCTGGCAGCAGCGAAGGCGGAGGTGCAGAGGGAGCCCTTCCTGGTGCCAGGGCACACGAGCAGCTAAGAGCGGAGCACGGGCACCTCAGCTCTTCGCCCTGAGCCCACCACACCGTCAGTCCCTAGGCCAGCGGGCATTCACCAGCTGGGGCTCGTAGCCAGCCTCTGGCCATTCTCTGCAACCCTCTGTGCTGCCACAAGGAGAGGGCTAGTCTCCCAGGACCACTAGAAGCCTGGGGCCTCACCTGCGGGGGTGGCGGGGACTTCAGGCCCACTGACCGGCGGCTCCATGGGCCCAGGGTAGGGCGGTGGTGGGGGGTGCACATACCCCATGGCCCCGTCCATCATGGGAGGTCCTGGATAGAACTCTGCTCGGCAAGAGAGGGACAGGGACCCAGTGAGCAGCCCAGCCTCTCCAGCTTCTCTGTCAGCCTTGAAGCAGGTCACAGAACAAGTCTCCCCTCTATGCCGCCCTGGCCTGGGTGGGGCTGGTTAGTGGGTGGGGTGAGGGGTGGGCAGCAAAGGACACACTCACCAGGTGGGGGCGGTGGGTAGGGGTAGCCAGGAGGGCAGGGGTACATTCCATTGGCGACGGGCGGGGGAAAGACATAGGCCCCGCTGGGCAGGTAGGAGTACCCATAGGCTCCAGTGGGGGCTTCGCCTCTCGAGGCTATAAGTACAGGGGAGAGAGAAGTGAGCGTCTCAGGCCTGGGGCTGGGGAGAGGGCGGCTCCGCCCTTACAAGGGAGTGGCTGCGTCCCAGGGGTGCAGAGCAGACCCGCCTCACCCCACCCACCCTGTTCCCGGCCCACACTTGAGTTGGCCTTGGTTGGAAGGAGGTGAGGGGTCTGGAGGGTGAGAGGTCAGAGCAGGAACAGGGGTGGAGGGAGGGCTCGGGTGTGGAGGGGGGGAGGCGGCTCGGAGACGGGGTAAAGCATGGGGCCGGGGGAGGCTGGGGACGAGGTGAGGGCCTGCTGTACATATTCCCTGGTGATTTAAAATGGCTGCCTAAGGATGGCTTAATTGTTGGGAATCTTGTTTTTATGAGGCCACAAAAAATGTCCTTGAGTCCAAACAGCTTCGTCAAAATGTCCTCTACAAAGGCCCTGGCTGATGTGGCTCAGTGGATTGAATGACAGCCTGCAAACCAAAATGTCCTCTACCTGCTGGGGGGGGGGTGGGGGTGGGAACCCAGACTGCCAGGCCCAGGACAGAGAGATGCTAATCCCAGCTTCCTTCCCAGCTCCCAGCCCTGGTCAGCCCAGGGCCCAGAGACTTATCTCTCGAAAGCTTAAAAAGAAACAAACTCAAACAAACAAAACGCCACACATGATGGCCTTAGCCCCGGAGTTTCAGAGCCTTTTTACCTTGAGATGCCACCTGTAGCATCCGCTGTCCGAACTCGATGGCGCCCCCTGCCGCAAAGGTCAGCTTGTAGGAAGCAGAGCCTTCCCAGCCACCTGAGAAGGAGCAGGACAGTGACAGCTCAGGAAAGGGGACTGGACTGCTCAGAAGAGAGGGCCATCTGTCCTCCCTGGGTCCCTGTCCCACGCTGCCCGGGAGGCCTGTGGGGAAGGGCTGGCTCTGCAGCCTCAATCGAAGGTCGGCCTCCACGCCAGCGCGGGGCGGCTCGCCTGCTGCGGAGTGGGGGCTTTTCCTTCCTGGAACAAGCTGGTCCTCCCACTCAGCACTGCGAGAGAGGCCCTCCCACCCTCAATGACACGGTGTCCCAGGAGCAGGGATAGTCAGCGACCACCAACACTCAAGTTCAGAGTGGATTTCAGCCTGAGGGGGCCGATGTGTGGCCCCTGGTCCCTGTAGCTGTGAGCTCCTGGGGCTGATGGGGCGTGAGGGGCAGAGTCTGTCATGAAGCAGGGCCTCTTGGGCATCACAGAGGGGCAGCTGGCTTCTCCTGGCTCCAGGGAAAGGCCCTTCCAAGAACCTGACACAGCTCCTTTCCACACCTCAAATCTGGACCCACCGCCCAGGGCACAGCAAGCAGCTAGCTGTACTTCACTTTGCTGACTGCACTCTCTGCAAAGGTGATGTGAGCTGCCATCTGCAATGCCAGCGTCCCCCAGGTCTTGTCAACCAAAGGCCACCTCTGCTCCACAGCTGGCAGCCCAGGTGTTAGTTTTGGAAGCTAATTCACAGCCAGGAAGAGGAGAGGCTAGAACGATAAGGGACCGAACAGGAGCCCTCCAGGGCAGCACCTACCCCAAAGCCCTGTCTGCATAACCTCAGCCCCCCACCCGGTCACCCACCTCCTGCCTCTGCCTTCACTGTTCCCTTGATGTAGTTCGCGCCGAACACAGGCTGCTTGATCTCACAGTCCTTCATCAGGTAGAACGGCATCATGAAGGACTGCATGGCATCCTTCCCCCTGGACAGAAAGATGACCTGCCAGGAGAGAAGACAAGCACCATCAGCGGCCAAACCACGGCCCCCCGGCCACCACTTCCAGTGGGTGATGAGCCCACACCAGTGCTGGGTGGGCAGCCTGAGCCAGGGCCCGGCAGCCACAAAGCTCTCTTTGCTCCAGACACTGGTGGAGGGAGCTTTTTAAAGAAGAGACCTTACATGGGGAGGCCAGATGTGTGTAGAGAAAACCATGCCACTCACAGACAGCACGAGAACAGACAGCTCTGTCACTTAAGCAGTGGCGAGGAGGTGGCGGATGTGAAAGGGCTTGCAAAGCCAGGGCAGAGAGGGAGGGCCAGGGTGGGGAGGACTCCTGAAGGGAGCGGTCCAGCCAGAGCTTGGCAGAACGAACAATGAAGGAGCGGCAGGGGTGGCAGGGCTGGGACACAGTGACTGTCCTAACTTTCCTCCAGACTCACTGCCCAAACAGCAAGAGTCTCCCATCCGTGCTTGGAGAACCTTCTGTTTCAAACACACAACTTTGGTGACTGAAGATGCCACCATCAGAAATGGGTGTCAATAGTCCTGGCTGGTGCAGCTTAATGGATTGAGCGTGGGCTGCAAGCCAAAGGGTCACCAGTTTGATTCCCAGTCAGGGCACACGCCTGGGTTGTGGGCCACGTCCCCAGTGGGGGCCACATGAGAGGCAATCACACATTGATGTTTCTCTCCCACTGTTTCTCCTTCCCTTCCCCTCTCTCTAAAATAAATAAATAAAACCTTAAAAAAGAGAAAGAAATGGGTGTTGAGCCTCTCCCTCCTCCACTAAACCCTGGTGACTAATATTTGAAGATACGTTCTTCTTCCAACCATTCAAGCCTAACTCCTGAATAGCTACAGATTCTCTTCCAAGAATGTTTATCTGCATTTCTCTGGAAGTCTCTCAGCATCTGCCTGGGTAAGCTCGGGCAAGAACCATTGTGCAGGCTGGCATTTCTCGCTCTGCGGGGTTCTGCTGGGCTCTCTGCCCAGTCCTGGGGCTGTGGCCATGTTCCCGCTCACCACATTCATCACTCCGGGTGTGCAAAAGGCCTCGTAGGCTACTCTTAGAGAAATCAAAATAATAACAGCCTTCCCCTCCAGGCCCAGGTCTTCCCAGCAGCTGCATCCACACACACAGATTTTGCTCCGTGTGGGATGCAGCTCTGGGACTTGCAGGGATTCACTGCCCAGGGGTCAGTTCGGCTGTGCAGATTGCCTGGTGGTTCTAGAACCCAGAAGTGCACGGCAGAGGGATACCCAGAGTGAGGAACGAACACACACCTGGGTCACAGGCCACCAGACTCACCAGGCTGGGGCTTACCTGGGACTCACATCAGCCCGCAGGAGCCATGAGCCTGCAAGACCACCCTCGTGTGGTGCCACTCACCCGGTAGGGGGTAAGGTAGACGGTGCCCTTCTTGGTCCCTTTGAAGGCCTCTGGCACATTCTTCATGTCATTGAATGTAAGTTCCACATGGTCATAGGACATGAGGATGCTGCAGGGAGAAAAGAGGGACGTCCCCAATGCGACCGTCTGTAGCCATGACCTGTTACCCCGGGGACCAGACTCTCCTGGTGCTCAGGTCCCCAGCATGTCAACCGTTTAACAGTTCCAACATTGCTGCCAGGAACTATCACTGCAGCTGTGGGACAGACGAAAAACGTGGGGTTCTACAGTGTTTCCCCAAACCCCACTATGCAACCTGAGTGGCCAACGCAACAGAAGAGCCCCAGGCCTCTCCAAGCCAGTTGGATTATCTGTGTTAACTCTCCTATTTTCTTCTGAGTCCTTATGATACACGTTGTTTTTGTTGGTTTGTTTTTCAGTAACACATAAACATGCTGAGACACGACTACCCATTACACAAGGGCTGCCTTCAGGGTCCTTCTGCACTGGGATTCCTAAGCAAGGGCCTCGAGATGACCCTGCACACACATTTTTCTGGGAAAACCTACAGCTTTGAAGAGCAGAGTTGACTGTTTTACATGAGACATAAACGCTAATTTAAACTTCCACTACTGTATCCATGTTTTCTTCGGAAACGAGGCTGAGGTACTTTCTGAAACAGGACACACCATTCTTTAGCCACACTGAGCCCTAGGCCAAGTAGGAGGCCCAACAGGACAAATACAGTCTTGTCCCAGAAAAGGCTCACTGAGACAGTTAGGAGAAACAGTCCCGGGAGATGTTACCAAATGGCATCAAAACTGTGTCAGGCCAGGGACTGGCAGGCATGCAGCAGCTACACACTGGGTGCAACGTGAGGTTTCTCTGATTGTAAGATAACAAAGTGGGTCTCAGTTCAGCGGTGCCCTTTGTCTTCTCCTCCCCCCCCAAATCACGACTCTTTCTCACCAGGGAGGGGTAAATGGGAAGGGGGCTGACGCCAGAAAAGTACAGCTCAGAGAAAAGAGGCCATTACCAGGAACAGGACAGTCTGGCAAATTCTGAGCAGGTAAGATGGAGGGAAGCTGGCATTTTCTGGTCAGGGGACTCCAGGCGTTCTCCTCTGACTCACCAAGTATTCCCGAGTGGCAGGCACTGGGCTAGGTCCAGGCTACAAAGCTCTGAGCCCACCAAGTCTCCCCTGGCACCTCGGGTTCATCCTGAACTCCTGCCTTCAAGAAGAGCTCCAGGCTCGGCATCGCTCAGCCAGGGCTGCCTGGTCTGACTCTCAGCGCCCGGAGAGCAAGGACGGGGAAGCCATCCAAGGAACCCAGATGTTGGAGGAGGAACACAATCAACTGAGGGGTTGGTAGAAAAGAACCTTGAAGTTGGGAGCCTCTGTTGCAGGGAGTTACACAAGCCAACAAGAGGCAAAAACGGACCTTTACAAGGACGGACATGGTGGCAGGAAACCTGTCAGTTGACAAGTGTTATCTATTTAAGCTCACTTCTGGCCCATTTCTTACCTGAGCGGTTCTGGAATATGCTGGAAGGCTACTGATTTTGAAGTAAAGATTCCTTTCCTGGAATCCCATCTGTTACTGTCCCTACATACAAAATGTGTATGTAGGGGAAGATACTAATAGCGTCTAACCCACAGGATTTACGTATTAAAGGCAGACTAGGAGCAGTGCCTGTCGTAGTAACATGTCGGTAGTAACATAGTAAACGTCCAATAAACGGCAGTTATTCTTGTCTAAGGCCATTCCCATCACTGGAGTCACCGATTCCGGGAAAGGGCTTAAGAACTACCCCTAGACCCCACTTACTTCCATAAGGCCCTAAGCTGCTCAGCCGCCCCAACCCCCTCCCACAGCTGATGGTGAATCTCGGCCCCACCGCCCCGCCCGCGACCCACCCACCTCCCTCCAGCCCCGCCCCCATCGTCCCCGCCATCACCGCACCCCATCAGTTTCCACTCTTGACCGAGTTATTCCCCACAGCCCACCGCCCAATGGCCACTCTCCTGCCGCCCTCCCCTCGTTCCTCCAGGATTCTTTCGCAGTGTTTTCACCTCTCGGTGTTGTTGACGATCACTCCGCCGCCCTCCGAGTGATTCTTGTTGAGCGCCATAATCTCTCGGAAAGGGGTCCCGAGCCTGGTAACGCAGTACGCTTGCGCTCCTCTGCGGCCCGCCCCTAGTGGCGTCGTTAGTATTAGAATCAGCCAATCACAGCTCTTGAGCGGAGGCTAGCCAAACCACCTGACCTCCGAGGGTCACGTGGTAGGATCTTACTCCCTCTCCCCTTCCCTTCTTGTTTTGCCGGCTTCACAAACAAGTTGAAGACTACAATTCCCAGAAGGCAGTGCTTCCACCACCTCTCGCTATGCTCATCAAGATGCATTCTGGAATTTGTAGTATTTCAGACATAGCCCAGGAGCGACTCTGTACCTGGCGTTACTAATGCTCCTGTGCACTCTCTACCTACCTAGTCCTGACAGCAACCTGAATAAACAGTTGGACACATCACAGGGGAAATTAATCACAAAAGCCCTGAATGTGTAGAATGAGGACTGTAACCTAAACTTGCTGTGTGGAAAAACCTTACTATGATATCCCACTCAACATTATACGTGCCTCCCCCCACCCCCGCACTCGGGTAGAATAGGGGTGAGCTATAATCAGGGGTGTCCAACCTGCTGCCTGCGGGTACATGCAGCCCAGGATGGCTGTGGATGCAGCCCAACACAAAGTCATAAATTTACTTTATGAGATTGCGTGTGTGTGTGTGTGTGTGTGTGTGATTATGTGTAGGAATGAATTTAATGTGTGGCCCAAGACAACTCTTCTTCCAGTGTGGCACAGAGATACCAAAAGGTTGGACACCCCCACAGGAGTACAAGACCCAGTCTGTTCCAGGTGGTGATGGGCTGGCTTGCAGGCCAGAGAAGAGTCAGGAAAAACTACCATTCCCTTTATGACGTCAAACCCAGACCCTCGTAGGTGGCGAGTGAGGGTCTCAGTGTTCTCCTACCAATTTACTGTTCCCTGGGGTGTGCCCCAACCTCACTGCCACCTCCACCACAGCTTGCCAGAAGGTGGCGCTGCTCCTCTACAATGTGCTGGCTTCTCAGTCCAATTGGCTGCCCAGTGGCCAGGCTGGAAGATTTAAACAAGACTGAACAAAATTAGCCCGATGTGGGACGGGGATCTTACAGAATAGGGCTGACTTATTTTAGCTTGTAACCCAGCACTGGGTGACCCCCCCGCCCCGCCCGCATCTGTAGTTAGGTAAACTTCCCCCACCTCCCAGGGGATGTCTAAGGGGGAATGTGAGCCTCTCACTCCCCACATGGCGGTGCTGGTGCATCATTAATCTTAGGACTCAGTTTGATTTGAGATAAACCGCTGATTTACTGACACGTAGTGGCCAACCTCCTTGTCCACCTACTTACCTTAATCTTTTGAATGATATAGCCTAGATGAAGGATCAAACACCAGAAAGATTATTCAACAGATAACCTCGTGTTAGTCTCGTGCAAACCCAGGTGGGACCTGGCAGGACAGGTGCAGTGAAGTAGTGTGTAATGGACTTCATGAAATCTGGCCCCAAAATGGTCAGATGAATTTTCACACATGGAACCTATGCAGCCGTAGAAAACAATGAAGTGAATTTCTATGTACTAAAATGGCAAGACTGCCCAGGCTTGCTAAACACAGAATGATGTACGAAAAATAGAATCTAGCCCAGCTTGTGTGGCTCAGTTGGTTGGGTGTCATTCCACTAGGCAAGAGGTCTCCAGTCTGATTCCCCATTGGGGCGCATGGCTGGGGTGCAGGAAGCAACTGATAGATGTTTCTCTCTCACACGATGTTTCTTTCCCTCTCTTTCTCTCTCCCTCTCCTCTCTCTAAAAATAAATAAAATCTTTTTTAAAAATAGGGTCTAGATCTAAACTTTCTGGAAAGATCCACTCTGGCATTATCCCACTGAGGCATGGGTCTTAAAATTGGGGTTGGCTGTGACTTGGTGTGAATTGTATATACTCTTGTATACTGTTTATTGTGCACATTTTTTTGAATTTCTATAAGAATTTAAGCCAAATTGACAACATGCTGGGCAGCAAGATCTCAAATGCTCTACTGCGCACATTTTAAATTTAATAATTTCAGGAAGAAAGAAGGGTGGGACAACACTCCAGTCCCACCAATCCCTTTGCTGAACTTGGTTGGTGGCGGGGATAAAAGCGGACTTTGTGGACCCTGAAGCTTTTACAATTTTGGAGGCTCTGCTGAAGAACTTGTGAACCATTGGTTGGTGGCACAAACAGGAACCCCCAATTTGGGGAAGAAAATGTTATTCGGTGCAAAACAGCTCAATAGTGAACAGCATGGCTGTGAAAACCAAATGGCTGTGAGGTGACCCTGGGGCCAAACCCCTCTTCAGCCAGATGGCAGACAGCTCTGCATAGATCTGCTTTCAGCTACACTGGTCAACCCCCACAGACATTTAGTGTTTCAGTTTCAGCCGGGGACCTGACTTATGAAGGCAAAGTCCTTGCCCCTGCTCCCTAATTGGCCCATCTCATGCAAATGAGGACTCCAAATTCTCACAGTTTGATTGGTCCATAAGGCACTGTCCTGATTGGTCAGAATGGAGCTGCTCTGATAGGGATAGAGCTGTGCCAGTTCCAATTGGGTGGAGAAAGCCTCAGTCCTATTGGTTGGAAAAGAATTCCATAACCTCGTTCATAAGGGTCACAGACACATTCACTCAGATGGCAGAAACACAATGCAGGCTTCCTCCTGAAGCACAGTTTGCACAGAGGTCCCCTGTGTATAGAAATGTCTGCTAGGTTCTGTTTTTTGTTTGTTTTTTAATTTAATCTCAGCCACCAGGAGCCCTTTTTAGTAGGTATCTTCTTTCTTCGGGTCCACAAACTAAAACACACAATCAGGAATACACAGTGCTGTGGCCACACTGAGGTCTCCTGACAGGAAGAGAAATGTGATAAAGAGGAAGTCAGAGAGGAGAGAGATAGCAGGCACACTGATTATGGCTCAAATGGCCAACTTTTGCAAATTTCGTAAAAACATGGTTAGGGCTGTTCCCAGTACCCACACTTAATGGCTCAAGGGCAGTTGGTGGCTGAACCAAGTCTGTGGCTAAAGTCCCTGTCTGGGCTCAGGCTCAGAACTCAGTCCTCTCCTGCCTTCCAGGCTCTGTCTGCTTCCAGAAATGGTCCCTTTCTCCTTCCTGACCAAGCATCCTGAGCAGTGCGCTAAGTACGGGTGTGGCCATGCTGGAGATACACTGCTCCCCTCACCCCGGGACAGCCAGGTAGTATCCGAGGTGAGAGGGCCCTGGGCCCTCTTGACCCCCAAGAAGCTTCATCTATTTCCTCCAGTGAGTAGAACAAATATAATTTGTGCTGAACAAATAATCATTTTCTTCTCCTCCTCCTCCTCTTCCTCCTCCTTCTTCTTCTTCTGAGAGGGGAAGGGAGAAAGAAAGAGGGAGAGAGACATCAATGTGCGGTTGCCTCTCACACGCCCCCGACTGAGGACCTGACCCACAACCCAGGCATGTGCCGTGACTGGGAAATCCAAATACACATGAATGTATATATAAGTGCAACTGAAAGAGTAAAAACCTGTTTGGGACTGAACAGTAAAAGTAAGCTTAGGCCGAGGCCCTGGCCAGGTAGCTCAGTTGGTTAGAGCACCATGCCAATACACTAAGGTGGTGGGTTCAATGCCAGTTCAGGGCACATACAAGAACCAACCTATGAATGCATCGGTAAGAAGAAGAACAACAAATCTCTCTCTCAGATCAATCAATCAATAAATAAATAACAATTTTTTAAAAATCACCTTGGACTGAAACATGAAGACTGCCTGCAGTCAATAAGGCTAGGAGGCGAGATGCAGGTGAAGCCCACAGCAGAGCTACGGGGACCCGCTTTCTCCCAAGGTCATGCAGCAGCTGTCACGGGTTATGACAACCCCCCTCTCGGCAACTGCTGCCTTCTTACCAGACATACGCCCAGACAGGCTTTGCAACTCTGAACTATCAGTCCCATGCCCAGTGCTGAACCCCTGGCCTCCCGACAGCACCCAATCCCTAGTTAATTCCAGCGGCCTGTAATCCCTGCTCAGAGACAGCAGCCTCTCCAGAACCAACTTTCCAAAGGCCCTTGCTTTCCGAAGACCATCCTCAGAATCCTGCAGAACCCAAGCCTGACGGGAACTGCTTCCCTCCTCCCCCTGGTGCAGCACCTGTGATAACCCTGGAGGCTGCACCTGCCGACGGCCGATGAGGCTTTACTAAACAACACTCCTGAAACACACCCACTCTCTCCGTTTGCTGCAGAAGGACGCGTCACTGTCTCATTAGGCATGAGTTCACGGAAAAGTTGCTGCAATCTTGCATGCACAGGAAAAAACCCCTGGTGGGCCAGCTCAGCGGTTCCCCTTAGAAGGGCCGTTTGACAGGAAAAAACTCCCAGAGAGGCTCTCTTCACCCAGAGGTGACTGGCTCCCACTGAAGGCAACTGGGTGGGTTGTTGGGCAGGTGACTCGTTTCCCAGAATAACTTTCCACGCCAGTAAAGTTTATCTAAATTTAAATAAGATTATCTAAAATTTAAACTTAGATAATTTTATCTAAAAATTGCCGAAGCATTTAATCATGAATGCTTTCTGTTTTGTTTTGTTTTTTTCCCAGAAGGAGACTGAATTACATCAGATTAAAAAAAATGACCTGCCCAGACCAAGTTTGGGACAAGTTTTATTCCATATTGTGCTCTAACAATCTCAATTCTATATCGTGTTACTTTAAAAATTGACAATTGTTATGCACGGAACTGATTTTGCAGCCCTCAGTTTGAAAGCCCCCACTTCCCACTCCAGAACAAAGGCCATGGGCTGGGATGGGCAGGGAGAAGGGGAGGAGGAGAACAGCTCCCCGTTGGGCTGGGGCCTGCACCCACCCAGCTCCTGGAGCTGAGGTGCGCCACGTTTACGGTGCCCAGAGCAGTGTGCTAAAGGGTGTGTCTGTGATTTAGGTCATTCTCAGCCTCTCGGGGAGGCAGGACCTCTGCTTTACTCTTCCCCTGGTAGGAGACTCAAAGGACTGGAGGCGGTTTCCCACCTCGATCAAGAGGGGTGGCAAGACTTCTTGTCTCGTGGAGGGCTTGTGG